TATTACAACTAAAATGTTTCCAATCAATATTTGGAAAGTTGAAGTCACCCATGACTACAACCCTGTGACTTCTGCATCTTTTCAGTATCTGCCTCCCAATCCGCTCCTCTACTTCTCTGCAACTATTAGAGGGTCTGTAAAAAACCCCCAACAAAGTGACTGCTCCTTTCTTGCTCCTGATCTCAACCCAAACTGACTCTGTAGACATATCATTCTCGAACTGCCTTTCAGTAGCTGCTATACACGCCCTGACTAGCAATGCCACTCCCCCACCTCTTTTTCCACCCTCCCTATTTCTTTTAAAGCATCTAAATCCCGGAACTTCCAACATGCATTCCTCTCCCCGAGTTACCCAAGTTTCTGTAATGGCCACAACATCGTAGTTCCAAGTACAGACCCATGCTCTAAGTTCATCCACTTTATTTCTGATACATCTAGCATTGAAGTATACACACCTCAAACCATCTCGGTGTCCGCAGTTACGCTCCATCGACCGCATTTCTTTATAAACCACCTCGCTCCCTGTTGTGTCTGTTGGAAGGCCGAATACCTCATCCTCTGAATTATAAATCCGGTTCCCCACCCCCTGCCAAACTAGTTTAAACCATCCCGTACAGCTCTAGCAAACCTCCCTCCCGGGATATTTGTGCCCTTCCGGTTCAGGTGCAACCCGTCCTTACTGTACAGGTCCCACCTTCCCCAGAATGTGCTCCAATTATCCACATAATGGAAGCCTTCCCTCCTACACCAGCCTTGTAGCTACGTGTTTAGCTGCACTCTCTCCCTATTTCTTACTTCGTTATCGCGTGGCACTGGTAGTAATCCAGAGATAACTACCCTGTTTGTCCTGGACTTCAGCTTCCAACCTAACTCCCTGTACTCGTTTTTCACATTCTCATCCTTTTTCTACCTATGTCATTGGTACCGATGCGTACCATGACTGCTGGTTGCTCACCCTCCCCCTTAAGGATCTTGAAGACACAATCCGAGACATCACAGACCCTGGCACCCAGGAAGCAACATACCATCCTTTCATCTCGTTCACATCCACAGAACCGCCTGTCTGTGCCTCTTACTATTGAATCCCCCACTACAATTGCTCTCCTATTCTCCCCCCTTCCCTCCTTTGTCACAAGGTCAGGCTCAGTGCCAGAGACCTGTCCGCTATGGCCTTCCCCTGGTAGGTCGTTTCCCCCCCCCCACCAACAGTATCCAAAATGGTATACTTATTATTGAGGGGAACGGCCACAGGGGATCCCTACACTGTCTGCCTATTCCCTTTCCCCTTCCTGACAGTCACCCAGCTACCTTTCTCCTGTACCTTGAGTGTGACCACCTCCCTGTAACTCCTCTCTATCACCCCCTCAGCCTCCCGAATGATCCGGAGTTCATCCAGCTCCAGCTCCAGTTCCCTGACACGGTTTTTGAGGAGCTGGAGTTGGGTGCACTTCTTGCAGGTGAAGTCAGAGGGGACACCAGCAGTGACCCTTACCTCCCACATCCTGCAAGAGGAGCATGCAACGGCCCTAGCTTCCATTCCCTCTACTCGAGATTTCCAGAAGAAGAATAAAAAAAAAAAAGCCTTACCTTACCGAACCTCCACACAGTCTTTTTTGGTTAGAGGAGGACGACGGGTGGGAAACACTACACGTGTAGTGTTTCGGGTTTAGCCAATGCCCGAATTTATCTGTTTCCTCCTGGCTCGCATTCCCTCCACACATCCGCCGCTGAAAACAAGAGGGCCGCTTGCTGCACGAGGTAAGTTTTTATACAGGGAGAATACAAAAACTGCCTTACCTTCCCGTTGGCACTCTGGCTCGCGCTGCTGCCGCTGAAAACAAGAGGTTTTCTTTGTTGAAGAAGGGCATTAGGGATATGCCAGGAAATTAGAGAGCACTTCGTCTGACTTGCGGCTACACAACAATGCAGAGTCACCGCGCAGAGGCTGATAGCTAAGTTCGGTACCCTACAGGACAGCCTTAACTAGGAAGGTGACCCCATCACACAATACCCACACAAGCATACACACGCACATACTCACTCTCTCACACACACACTCTCTCCCGCTCCTCCACCTCTCTCTCACACACACACGAATCTATAGGGAGATTTTGTATTTGTGGATACATTCTATTTTGTTCAAAAAGCACACAGTTTATAGACAGTCAGTCAACATGACGTTTTATGAATACCTGCTTTAGAAATAAAACCAAAACACAAAGATTCTAAACAAGGCCTCACACCTAACATCCACTGCCTGACCTAAAATGTCATATCTTCTTTACACTGATAAAACCTTTAGTTCTCTCAGGACTGTGACTTGAAAGAAATTCGGGGATTTCCATATATATATATTAATCAATTAAATCTTTAATCAATTAGAAAGTTTTAACAGCATCTTAGTTTTGTTTAATACATCTCCATCAGTGGTGTGACCCTTTGATCTTTTACTTATATATTCTGTGTCTGATACTACTCCCTCGCTAACACCTGTAGAAGGAGTAAGGCTCCTAAGCCTTGTGTTTTCAAATAAACCTGCTGGACGAGAACCTGGTGTTGTGTGACTTATGACCTTGCCCACCCTAATCCATCACTGGCACCTACACATCACTTAGTCTTGGGTCAGTGGTGGGAAAATTATTGGAAAAAAATTCTGAGAACCAGGATTAATCAACTCTTGGAAAGGCAAGGATTTAACAGGGGTAGTCACCACTGATTTGTTGGAGGCAGATCCTGTCTGACTAACTTAATTAAGTTTTTTGAAAAGGTGACTAAAGATATTGACAAGGGTAGTGCTGTTAATGTGCTTTATATAGACAAGATCCAACATGGAAAGTTGGTTCAAAAGATAAGAGCCCATTGGATCCACTGCAAGTTGCCAAACTGGATCCAAAACTGGCTTACAAATGAGAGGCAAAGGGTGCTGGTAGAGGATTGTTTTTGTGATTAGAAGCCTGTGACCAGCAGTGTGCCACAGGGAATGGTGCTGGGACCCCTGTCATTTGTTATGGACATTCATGTCTTAGACATGAATGTAAAATGTATAATTAATTAAGTTTGCAGATTACATGAAAATTGGTATTGTTGATACAGAGAAAGATGATCTGGGGCTACAGTTTGATGTTGATCAGCTGGTAAATTGGACACAGCAATGGTAGATGGAATTTAATCCTGATAAGTATGAGATGATGTATTTTTGGAGGTCTAAAAAGGGAAAGATGTATACAATGAATGGTAGGTCCCTCCGGAGTACTGAGAGACAATGGTACCCAAGTCCATAGATTCCTAAAGGCATCAGCACAGGTAGATTGGGTGGTGAAGATAGCATAGCAAATGCCTGCTTTCATTAGCCAGGGCATAGAACATAGGAGCAGGGAAATCTTGTTCTAAACTTTATACAGCATTGCTGGTTGGGCTAACATTTATTGCCCATCCCTAATTGCCCTTGAGAAACTGCCAAGGTGAACTGCCTTCTTGAACCACTGGAGTCCATGTGCCATATATTGACACATAATGCCTTTAGGTAGGGAATTCCAGGGTTGTGACCCAGTGACAATGAAGGAACGGCGACTTATTTCCAAGTCAGGATGGTGAATGGCTCGGAGAGGAACTGGTAGGTGGTGTTCCCATGTATCAATATTTTATTAGAATTCCTACAGTGTGGAAACTGGCTGCATTGACTCCATATCGAACATCCAAAGAGCATCTCACTCAGACCCGACCCCTGTAACTGTGCATTTCCCATGGCTAATCCACCTAGCCTGCACATCCCTGCACACTATGGGCAATTCAGCATGGCCAATCCACCTAATCTGCATATCCTGTGGGAGGAAACTGGAGCACTTCAAGGAAACCCATGCAGACATGGGGAGAATGTGCAAACTCCACACAGACAGTGGTCAGAGGATGGAATTGAACCCAGGTGTTTGGCACTGTGAAGCACCAGCACCATTGAAGAAAATGCGAGTGAAAATTGCAAAGGCACTGGCAATAATTTTTTAATGTTTCCTGGACTCAGGGTTGATGCCAGAGGATTGCAGAATTGCAAATATAACACCCTTGTCCAAAAGAAAGTTGTAAGGATAAGCCCAGCAATTACAGACAAGTCAGTTGAACTTCAGTACTGGGGAAATGTTATGTGCATGTACAGGTCTCTTGAGATTCCCCTTTATTTGTTATATGCTAATCTTTATTCATAATCCCTATTTTCCTACCTCCCTTCTGAACCTTCTATATTTAGTTGTATTTTCAACTTGATACCTATTGTTCTTCATTATTTTAATCTCCATCTGCTTTTTAATCAAGGGAGTTTTGTGTTTGTTTGGCCTACCTTTACCTTCTGAGGAAATATACCTCATTTACGGGTTTTGATTGGAGGGTCTAAAATAATAACTTCAAAACATGAAAATTTTGTTATAACTGAGCACAGTTTATTTACATATTTGCTTCAGATTATGTTTCAGTGTCTTATCTTGAAACTGATGGTGGTAATGCTTGGGTACCTATGCACAAATGCTGAGATATTGGTACCATTGATAGCCATAGGTGAGGTGCCAGAAGACTGCAGGTTGGTTAACGTGGTGCCATTATTTAAGAAAGCTGGTAAGAAAAAAACCAGGGAACTATAGTCAGGTGAGCCAGAAGTCAGTGGTGGGCAAGTTGTTTGAGGGGATTGTGAGGGATAGGATTTACATGTATTTGGAAAGGCAAGGACCGATTATGGATAGTCAACATGGCTTTGTGCATGGGAAACTGTGTCTCAATTGAGTTTTTTGAAGAAGTGACAAAGAAAATTGATGAAGGCAGAGTGGTGAATGTTGTCTATATGGACTTCAGCAAGGCAGTCAACAAGGTTCTGCATGGTAGTCTAGTTGGCAAGGTAAGGTCATATGGAATTTAGGGAGAGCTCAACATTTGGATACAAAATTGGCTCAAAGGTAGGAGACAGAGGGTGGTGGTGGAGGGTTGCTTTTTGGACTGGAGGCCTATGACCAGCGGTGTGCCGTAAGGATCGGTGCTGGATCCACTGCTTTTTGTCATTTATATAAATGACTTGGAAGAATATAGGAGGTATGGTTAGTAAGTTGCAGATGACACCAAAATAAGTGGTGTAGTGCACAGTGAAGAAGGTTATCTCAGAGTACTATAAAACCTTGATCTGATGGGTCGAGTCGTGGCAGATAGAGTTTAATTTAGATAAATGTGACGTTTTGCATTTCGGTAAGGCAAATCAGGGAAGGACGAATCCAGTTAACGGTAAGGTCACGGTCATTTTCCCAGGGCAGGGGGGTCTAAAATTAGACAGCATACGTTTAAGATGAGAGAGGAAAGATTTAAAGGGAACCTATGGGGCAACTTTTTCCATGGAGAGGGTGGTGTGTGTACGGAATAAACTGCCAGAGGAAATGGACGAGGCTGGTACAATTACAATATTTCAAAGGCATCTGGATGGATACTTTAATATGAAGAGTTGAGGGCCAAATGCTGGCATATGGGACTAGATTAATTTAGGATATCTGGTCGGCTTGGACAAGTTGTTTCCATGCTGTATAATTCTATGACTCTAATCACGGAGCCATAGTGTTGCCCCATCCGTTGCCATTGTCCTTCTAGATGGTTGTGGGTTTGGAAGGGCTGTCTAAGGATCTTTGGCGAATAGTGCGACAGTGCTGGAGAGAGTGGATGCTTGTTGATGTGCTGCCAATCAAATGGGCTGCTTTGTTCTGCATGGTGTCAAACTCATCGTGGAAAGAGGAAGATGTTGTATTATAGTCCCGGCTTACACCTTGCAGATGGTGGATAAGCTTTGGGGATTCTGGAGTTAAGTTACTGCAGAATTCCCAGCTCTTGATCTGTTCCTGTAGCCACAGTTCAGACTCTGGTCACTGGTAATTTCCTGGGAGTTGAGAGGGGAGTATTCTTCAATAATCATGCCACTGAACATCAAGAGGCAATAGTTACATTATGTCTTGTTGTTGATGGTCCCTGCCTGGCACTTGCGAAGACTCAATGTTTCTTGACACTTATTCGCTCAAGCCCGAAAGTTGTCGAGGTTTTGGACATGAACTGCTTCAGTATCTGAGGAGTTGCAAATGGTGTTAAACATTGCGCAATCAACTGTAAACATCCCTATGGTTGGGCCTGGAACTACACAAAAAGCACCCCAAGAATAGCAGAAAATCAGGGTGCATAGAAAGTTGAAACAAACATGTATGCTGGAAAAATAAATCCAGAAATAAGCTAAAAGGATTAAAGGGCATACAAGCATCCCAGACCTCATGATCTGCATCCCCTGAAAGAAGTGGCTGCAGAGAAACTGGGTGGATTGATTTCAAATTCCCGTACTTCTGGAAAGTGAATTGGAAAACTGAAAATGCGATGCACCTTTTCAAGAAGATGGAAACTGAAAGCAAGAAATGCCAGGTCAGTGCGTGTACAGCATTTATAATTAGGAAAATGCTGGAATCTATTCTGCAAGAACTAGCAGAGGAATATTTTGAAAATCAGAACATAAAACCACATCAACTCAGTCTGGTTATGAAAAAGAAATAGTGTTTTGACAAATTTATTACAGAATTCATAGAGTTATAGAATCCTTACAGTGCAGATAGAGGCCATTCAGCCCATCGAGTCTGCATTGAAGAGCAAATCCTACTCTATCCCTGCATTTACCATGGCTAATTCATGTAGCCTGCACATCCCTGTACACTACGGGGCAATTCAGCATGTCAAATCCAAAAAACCACTGCACATCTTTGGACTGAGAGAGGAAACTGGAACACACAGCAGAATCCCACACAGACATGAGCAAACGTGTAAACTCAACAGTCGCCCAAGACTGGAATTGAAGTCATGTCCCTGGCACTGAGGCAGCAGTGCTAATCATGTGTGACCATGCTGCCCATCTCCAGTTCTTTGAGGATGAAATATGTCAGGCTGATACTGGAATAGATACAGTACATTTGGATTTTCCAAGGCAGGTGCCACATAAAAGGTTATGACATAGATAAAAGCTTGTGACATTGAAGTTAGGGTCATTGAATATTTTTAAGGCCAAGATAGATAGATGTCTGAGAAAGGAGTCAAAGGGGTAGTGTGGAAAATCAAGGACACAATCAAATCAACCACTTCCTTATCAAAAGGCAGAGCAGGTTCAAGGTGCCAAAAGTCTTACTCCTAATTTTTATGTTCGTATGATTGTACCAAATAGTGTCAGGAAAGAGGGGTCACTTTCAGATCAGAAGCCCTTGAGTAGTGTGTGCCACAGGGATCAGTGCTGCAGCCTCAATTACTTAGTCTCTTCAAGTCATTAATGTAGATCATAAGTGCTTTGCAAATCCAATTTTGCTGGTAATGCAAAAGCAGGACAGCAAGCCTTGCTGAGAACACGGTTTGCAGAGGGGCACACAGGTTAAGCGAATGAGCAAAAATATGGCAGGTGGAACATACTGTGGAAAATATGACTGGTCATTAAGTATATTCAATGCTGTGAGAGATAGCTTTTTAAATCAGTCAGGGTCTTAAGTGTTATGGGGATAAGATAGGAAAATTAAGCTGAGGGTTATCAGAACAGCCATGATCTCACTGAATGGCAAAGCAGTCTTGATGGGCTAAATAGCCTACTTCTGCTCCTAAATTTTATAGTCAATGTCCATTTCACAGGAAGAACAGAAAAGCAGAATATTATTGAAATTAAGACAATGGATGCTCTCATATTTAATAGTCAGGGAAGAAATCATTTGCTGCTTTGTGTTTTCCGATTTTACAACAGAGTCCCAGTAACTCCTGCAGCTTAATTCCTATGAAAATACTCCCAATCATGTGTCTTCCCAATCTTTGGCCCTCAAATAAATTCAACAATTTCTCCAAACATTGGTGGCATGGTGCGTCAGCGGTTAGCATTACTGCCTCACAGCACCAGGGATCTGGGTTCGATTCCACCCTGTCTATGTGGAGTTTGCACATTCTCCCCATGTCTGCATGGATTTCCTCCGGTTGCCTCTCTCAGTCCAAAGGTATGCAGGCTAGGTGGATTGGCCATGCTAAATTGCCCATAGTGTTCAGGGATGCCAGGGTTAGGTGTGTTAGCCATGGGAAATGCAGGGTTACATGATAGGTTGGGGTGGGAGGGTGTGGGTGGGATGCTCTTCAGAGGGCCTGTGTGGATTCAATGGTCCAAAGGGCCAGCTCTACACCATAGGGCTTCTATCTCCACTCAAAAACTTCTTTGACACTTCTTGCTAAGTACACTTTTCCTAAGTCATCATTACTCCACACTGTAGCCTCTGACTTGAACTCTGGACTATAACCCCATCATTGCCATGCATTTCCTGTTTAATATCATATTTTTATGTATCCGTATTTCTACGTACCTGCGTAACTTGTGTTTTCCTGAATTCCAACTTTTGCCTGTCGCTTTAGACCAAAGCGCATCAATCTTTTTCCATTTTATCTTTTAAGTTTTCCCCAATAGCCTTCTAGTATTATGTGCTGTCCTCGATTGTCATGGGACTTTCAATTCAACCTCATGTACTCTGACCTCCCAAATCCCACGTCCAAACCCTAAGTATTTTACCTTCCTGCTCTCTTACCACCTACCAGGCCTTATCCTATTAAACACCCTATTAGATAAACCTACAGTTTCCTGCTCTGCTTTTCTTGGTATCTGTTGACAGGCTCGGAGGCATTGATTCTGACTCATGAGCAAAGCCAATCACCCCAATCCACTCTCTCATTGACTTCCCCATCTTTATACCTTCTGGGGGTAAACTTGCCAATTTTCTGCCTATTCAACCTCACTCTCCCACTGCTGACTCAAGTTCAGCTCTCACCACCTCTCTTTCTCTAGAACATTTATTCATTTGAGAACTATTTACCATTCATCAACTTACTGTGGATGATTTCATCAACATCACAGCCTTAATGGAAACCTGGCTGAAGAGCGACAAAATAGTCATTCTTAATGAAACTGTCGTGTCTTGTTACATCTTCCACCAGTGGCACCTTTATAAGAACTATCAAATCAGAGACAAGTAAGGCTATCCAACAGCACCCTCTTTCATACTAACATTCTCAGCTTCAAAGGGCTGATTGCTCCAAACTAGCTCTGTTGAGCAGGATACATCTTTCATCTCCTGACTCCAAAACAATGGCTTTACTCAGAACTCATCACAGTCCAAAACTCCCAGGAGGGTATTGAAACAGAATGGAGAAGGCTCATTCAGGAAGGCACTGAACAGACACTGCATTGGGCACGTGCAGAAAGTGAAAGTCGAGGTGTCAGGGTGAGCACACATAAACATCTAGACATATCAATCAAACACTTCAACCAGCACATACTACTATGATTTACAACATGTAGTGTAAGTCATTCTCAACCTTGAGAAACTGAAGCCTTGGGCATCTTTTACCACTCATCCCAGATAGATTGTCCTGGCATTCATTATAAAATAATCCTCCTGCACTTTCTCCTCCTTTGAGCATCTTAACTCATCCCACTCCTCCCATCTCTCCTTCAAAACCATACCGCTCCCCCAGTCTTCCAAGTATGACAACATTTCTTTTAAGCAGCAAGGTATTCCTCATTTTTACTTTAAACCACTGCACTGAATGAACACTCTCCTCTGTGATTTCAATCGCAACTCACTATGCTCTCCGCCCTCTGACTTCACTGCTCTCTTACCTTCCCTAAATCTGTAAGTCTCTCCCACCCTTTTTTGCTTTTTCTTTGAGGTTTATAGTTTGTACGGACTATATTCTAGATAACGAATACCAGGGAATAAAGGGCCGTACAGTAACTGCCATTATTTGATTTTAAGCATCTTCCAAAAGGGTTAATTTAAAAGGAGTACATTATGGCAGGAGAATTCAAGTCATGGTGTGCTTTTCCTGCTCTATGTGGGAAACCAGGAACTCTTCCAATGGCCAGGGCACTGCAGGAAGTGCCTTTGCTTCAGCTCCTGGAAGACTGGGTTTTGGAGCTGGAGCAATGGCAGGGGACATTGTGAAGCATCCACAAGGTGGAGACTGTCGTGGAAAGTATTGGTCACACCACAGGCTAAGACTCTACAGCGGGAATGGAATAGGCAGAGCAAGAGGTCTAGGTGGGAAGTGCTGTAGCTATTCCCCAGCAAAACAGATATATCATCTTGCAGAGATAGTAGGAACTGCAGATGCTGGAGAATCTGAGATAACAAGATGTAGAGCTGATGAACACAGCAGGCCAAGCAGCATCAGAGGAGCAGGAAGGCTGACGTTTCGGGCCTAGACCCTTCTTCAGAAAATATCATCTTGCATACTGTTGAGAGGAAAGCAGCAGCACATAAATTTGTTACAGCAGATCCATCAGTGATGCACAAGTGAAGTTAAAAAGTGCAAGAATGCAACAGTTTCAGGGGATTCAATTGTAAGGGATTCCTATGACTGCAAACAAGCCTCCAGGTTGGTATGTTGCCTCTCTAATGCTAGGGTCAAGGATGTCTCGGAACAGCTACAAATGAACAAATGAAAAAGTACAGCACAGGTACAGGCCCTTCGGCCCTCCAAGCCTGTGCCAACCATCATGCCCTAATTAATCTAAAAACAAGCCTGCCATTTTTCGATCCGTACTCCTCTATTCCCTTCCTATTCATGTACCCATCTGGGTGCCTCTTAAATGTCTTCAATGTGCCCGCTTCCACCACCTCTTCTGGTACTGCATTCCAGGCAGCTACCACTCTCTGCATGAAAAACTTCCCTCGCATATCTCCCTTAAACTTTCCCCCTCTGACCTTGAACCTGTGCCCCCTTGCAATTGAAACTTCAACCTTGGGAAAAAGCCTTTGACTATCCACCCTATCTATGCCTCTCATAATTTTGTAGACCTCTTATCAGGTCTCCTCTCAGCCACCATCTTTCCAGTGAAAACAATCCTCGTCTTTTTAATCTTTCCTCATAGTCAATGCCCTGGAGACCAGGCAACATCCTGGTGAACCTTCTCTGTACTCTCTCCAAAGCTTCCGCAGCCTTCTGGTAGTGTGGTGACCAAAACGGCACACAATACTCAAAATGTGGTATAACAAGGGTTTTAATATAGCTGCAAAATGTTTTGCCAACTCTTGTACTCCACACCCCGGGCGATAAGGGCAAGCATACCATATGCCTTCTTAAACACCTTGGCTACCTGTGTTGCCACTTTCAGGGAACTGTAGATCCGTCCAGATCCACCTGAATGTTAGTACTCCTAAGGGTTCTGCCACTTACAATATAATTCACACCTAATTTTGATCCTCCAAAATGCATCACCTCGCATTTGTCTGGATTAAACTCCATCTGCCATTTCTGTATCCAAGTCACCAATCTATCCATATCCTGCTGTATACTTTCACAATAGTTGGCACTATCAGCAACTCCACCAATCTTCGTGTCATCAGCAAACTTGCTTACCAGACCACCCATATTTTCCTCCAGATCATTTATACATATACTACAAACAACAGAGGACCTAAGACTGACACCTGTGGAATACCACTAGTTACCAGTATCCATTCTGAAAAACATCTTTCCACCACTACCCCCTGTATTCTATGACCAAGCCAGTTTTCTATCCATCTAACCAGGCCACCCCTAATCCCTTGCGATTTTATTTTTTGTACCAACCTGCCATGTGGGACTTTATCAAATGCCTTACTAAAGTCTATATAAACTACATCCACAGCCCTTCCCCCATCAATTATCCTCATTACCTCTTCAAAAAATTCAATCAGGTTGGTGAGACACAACCCTCCCCAGACAAAACTATGCTGCCTGTCACTAACTAGTTCATTTCCCTTCAAATGCACATATATCTTGTCCCTCAGTATCTTCTCCAAGAGCTTCCCCACCACAGACATCAAGCTCACCAGCCTATAGTTTCCTGGATTGTCCCTGCATCCTTTCTTCAACAGGGGAACAACATTCACTAATCTCCAGTCCTCTGGAACTTCACCTGTGGTCAATGAGGATGTGAAGATATCTTCCAATGCCCTAGCTATTTCCTCCCTTGCCTCTCTGAGTAACCTGGGGTAGATCTCATTTGGTCCTTGGGACTTGTCTATCATAATGCAATTTAGGATTCCCAAAACTTCCTCTTTCAATACGTTGACACTCTCTAAAAGTATTCACACACTCATCCCTGACCTGAACATTAGTTATGTCCTTCTCCTTAGTGAAAACCGATAGAGTACTCATTCAGGACCTCCCCCACTTCCTGTGGGTCTACGTATAATTTCCCTCCTTCGTCCTTGAGTGGGCCTACTCTTTCCCTTGTTACCTTCCTTCTCCTAACATATCCATAAAGAGCCTTGGGATTCTCCCTGACCCTAAAGACATTTCATTGCCCCTTTTTGCCTTCCTAATTGTGCATTTAAGTTCCTTCCAAATTTCTCTGTACTCCTCCAGAGCTTTGTCAGTTTGTGGCTGCCTGGACTTGTCATACGCGTCCCTTTTTCTTTCGACTAACCTTACAATTTCCTGTATCATCCACGGTTCCTGAATCCTGCCATTCCTATCCTTTAGGATTGCAGGGACACTTTAGTCAGTTGTTCTTTAAAAGCCTCCCATATGCCACAGGTAGATTTGCCCTCAAATAACTGCTCCCAATCCACATTCTCCAGTTCCTGTCTAATTTGGGTGTAATTGGCTCTTGCCCAATTAAGCACCCTCACCCAAGGGCAACTTGTGTCCTTTTCCATGGCTACTCAAAATTTTATGGAGTTATGGTCACAAAGCCCAAAATTATCTCCAACTGAAACATCAATCACCTCATTCCCTTGGACCAAGTCTAATATGGCCTCCTGGCTGGTTGGATTGTCAATATACTACATCAAAAAGCCCTCCTGGACACAACTAACAGATTGCTCTACATCCAAGCCCTTGGCTCTAAGGGATTCCCAGTCAATAAGAGGAAAGTTGAAGTCATCCACAACAACTACCCTGCTCTTTTCACACTTTTCCAGTATCTGACTGCACATCTACTCCTCTGTCTCCTGTGGGCTGTTGGGAGATCTATAGAAAACTCCCAACATTGTGATTTCACCCTTCCTTTCCGGAGCTCCACCCATAATGCCTCAATGCAAGATCCCTCCAACATTGCCCTCCCTCAACACAGCTGTGATGTGATCCGTAATCAGCAGTGCAATTGCCCCAACCCTTTTGTTTCCCTTTCTGTCCCTTCTAGAACAGCGACATCCAGGAATGTTAAGCTGCCAGTCCTGTCCCTCCTTTAACCATGTCTCTGTAATGGCAATAATATAATTCCATGCAGTAATCCATGCTCTTAGTTCATCTGGCTTACCTGCTTTACTACTTGCATTGAAGTAAATGCATTCCAGTCCTCTAATCCCTCTGAACTCCACAACTTCCCTGTGCCTGCTCTTACTCTGTGCTACACATATCTCTGTCACACCTTTGTCCTCAATCCCTGCACTTACTAGCCTAGTATTTCGGTTCCCAACACCTGCCACACTAGTTTTAACCCCTCCCGAAGAGCTCTAGCAAACCTCCCGCCCAGGATATTGGCACACCTCCAGTTCAGGTACAACCCGTCCTTCCTGTACAGGTCCCACCTTCCCCAGAAGACATCCCACTGTCGATATATCTAAAGCCCTCCCTCCTACACCAGCTCTGCAGCCACGTGTTCAATTACACTGTCTCTGTTCCTAGCCTCACTAGCTCGTGGCACAGGTAGTAATCCTGATATTACTACCCTGGTAGTCCTGCATTTTAGCTCCCTACCTAAACCCCTGAATTGTCTTCACAGGACCTCTTCCTTCTTCCCACTTATGTCATTTGTGCCAATACGAACAATGACTTCTGGCTCTTTACTTCCCGCTTCAGGATGTCCTGTACCCACTCAGAGACATCAAGGACCCTGGCACCAGGGAGGCAACACACCATCCTAGAGTCTCATTCACAGCTGTAGAAATGCCTATCTGTGCCC